ATCGACTTTATATTAGTTCTTCCTTTTACACACACACACACACACACACACACACATACACACACACACACGAATAAATATGTTTGTAACTTGACATAAAATTGATACTGTTTTATGGAAACCTTTTTTTTTTTTTTTTTTTTTTTTTTTTGCAGAAGATTGAACCTTGTGCTTTAAAGGCAAGCACTTACTCTACTGAGCTGTCTCTCTGGCTCTTGTTTTATGGAAAACTTGAATGACTTTTAAATGGGTTGGTCTAATATTATTATATTTTACATAGTCCTGCGTGACTACCGTATTGAGAGCTCTTTGATCTTTATACAGGACCATTCAGCAACTTCCCTTGCCTTCTGGGTTGTGGTTCTTGTTATTTTCTATATGTTACATCTGGAGGTATTAGAATATTTCGAGTTTGTATAACTGGAAAATATTTTAATTTTAGTTTTCAAAGATGTATTTTCTAAGTTTAAAATTCAATGAGGAGAGATCTTTTTCTTCAGTCCTTTGAATAAATAAGTCTAGTTTCTTAACTACTTTCTCTTGTTTTTCTAATGTGCAATAATATGCTATTTAAATTTGTTCTTCCATAGCTAATATTTTTTCTATGTATATGCTTTAATAACTTTTTATTTACAATTAGTTTTGGAGAATTTCATTTTTGTGTATCTTGGTATGATTTTATTCATATTTCTTGTGCAAAAGTGCCATCTTCCTTGGAAATGTGCTAAAATTTTAACTAAATTCAAAATTTTAAATCTTTAAATATTTATTGCTTACCCTCTTCTACTTTGAGAATTGCAATTATTTGTATATAAGTTTGTTGATTTTGCCACAGAGAGAACTATTACATGACTGATCTGTAAACTCTTCTTCATGTTTGTTTTAGAAATTTTTTATTGTTATATTAACTTGTTTGTAAATATTTTTCTTACAATGTGAAATCTGTTATTAATCTCATGTTATGTATTTATTTCAGATATATTTTTCTAAAATTCACTTTGGCTACATGCCATCTTTCACATTTCAATATTTGTGTACAATTTTTAATTTGCTATATAATTGCTACTGATATTCAATGAAGTTAATAATGAGTAAAAAAAGTGAGAAAAGATTATAAGCAAGGTTATCGATTTTTTTTTTTGCAGAATTGGGTTTGAACTCTGGCCCTGGCACTTGCCAGAAAAGCGATTATTCCACGGAGCCATCTCCCCGCCCCAAGCAAGGCTTTCTAAATAGACAGTATACGTATATGTTAAGCATTTTCCAAGCCCACTTTTTAGTTCTTTTTCCCACAGAATCTAACTGAAAATGAGATTATCAATACTGAAAATGAAATTAACAATACTAGAAATGATTGCATAAATAAATACAATAATTCATAAAATATCCATTATACTGTGTAACACCATTCATGTATACATATTTCCAGAATACGTGTATGTGAAAACTTATTTTTTCTTGAAACTGTGAATTCTGAACAACAAGGGCCAGCCACATAGTTCAGTGGATTAAAGCGTCTGGTTGGCAGACACAGGAACTGGGGTTGGATCCCTGGCTTGCTGTGCTGTCCCCTCCCCTGGGGCACACTCAGCGGGCATTTGAGACTGGGTTTGGTGATGCGGACCTGTAATCCCAGCGCTTAGGGGACTGAAAATGGGAGAATCACTACAGTCTTATCCATGAAATGAGACCACGTAAGCCCTGTACTAAATGTATAAAAGCAAAAAAATAAAAATCCAAACTCTCTGACTCCCCTAAAAAGATCAAAAACCAATTGTGAAGAATATTGATACCTTCCGGCATAAAATTAAAGATTTAGCTAATTTTAACCTCAAAATTTATATTACTAATGAAAGTCATACATAAACCGTTCATTTTTGAGAAATATTTTTTAATGCTTTGCTTTGAGCATCTATCATCTTCAAAATAGCTCTTGCTAAGAGGTCATGCCACCTACGGGAATAGACTGTAGCTGCCAGGCAGAAAACACCACTGTGTCTCCGTTTCTGATTGGTTTTATTCCAACTTGCTGAAGGAGCATCTCATGGAGGGCGTGGGCCACAGCATACACAGCGTTGTATACATTGTAGCTCGCATCGCTCATGGCCATGTCAAAATGATTCACAGGCAGCCATGCCAGAGAAGCATTAGGTAGGCAGTTCTTCAATGCACAATCAGAATCAGACACTGAGCAATGAAAATTCTGGAACCAGTACAGAGTGAGGAACATGTCTTCTGGATATTTGGAGGGTTTCACTGAGTGGATGAAGGTTTTAAAGCCTGGAATCTCCTCTCGGTGGTGTGAAAAAATGAGAGTCCCATGAAATGAGTCAAGTATGAAATTTCTTCCAGATGAGTCAGCATGCCACTGTGAGTTTGTGACCCAGACTCTCCATGTCACTACATACTGACCTATCTGATAGTTTACATCATTCAGACTCTCTGTGTCATAGTAAAGGACAACAACATTTGCTAGTGGTGTTTCCCTGCTCAGGAAATCTAGTTTCTGCACAGCCAGTTGAGATGCAAATGAATTTGAGATTATTGTCACAAATGCCACACAGACTCCATTCCTGTCCATCTCTGCTCTCACATCTGAGAGAAACTGAAGACCTTTCTGACCTTCTGCGATGACCAGTTCTACCCAGGTCCAGCTGAAATGATGCATCAAGGCGACCATGGCAGTGGCCAGAGACGTGTCCTTGGGGGCCATTTGGTACAGAGAAGGAAACTGGCCTTTGTCATTGAATGTGGGATCAAATGAGCTAAAGCTGAACTAAAAGAAAACCATTTGAAATGATGTAAAGAGGGTCAACATGGAGCAGAAACTTAGATCTGAAATGTATAAAGCAACAGCTGGAAATAGCAAAAGGAAATACTGTTTAGTCCCACCTACATATCTCTACACATCTCATTTCACAAGTGCCATATGTTTGACTATGCCTGGAGAATAGGTCCTTTCAAGGAAATTTCTTTTCTCTGTCTTTTCCCTCTGCTGCAGAGAGGAAAGAATTATTAATCCGCTAATCTGTGTGTATCACATGCTGAGATTTAAAAACTTTAAAATTTCAGTGATGCATAATCCCATTCTCTTTCACTATTGGGAGCAGAGAAGGCCTTCACTCTCCCCATCACTCACACTCACTCACCTGTGGAAACTTGTAGAGCTCCAGCAGTGTTGCACTTTTTCCAGCATTTGACCGGTTGTTCCTGTTAGGACTGCTACAGACTTGCTCTCTTTCCTACAGGTATAGTTAGGGACCTCACTGTGTCCTGTGTGCAGTCTGAAGAAACTCTCCAGCAGCCTCCAGTGACCATAATGTATTGGGTGAAACTCATATCCCAGAGTTATGTTGGGTAGAAGGTGGGGATTCCTGTTGATCTCTTCACTGGCAAAAACGAGGGCTAGAAGATTCTGGTAGTTGTCGGGCACAAGCCTGCAGAGAGACCATAGTTTTCCTCAGAGAAAAGAATAAATGATTACATTCCAATCTATTATAATATGATCTATGTAATTTTTTTTCTTTTCAAAGTTTTATTGATAAACATATAGCAATGAGACAGTTTCAAATCAAATCTAAAGTACAGTTTCAACAAATAATACACTGCATATATTCTTCTTAGTGGTTAATTGCTGTACAAGATGCAGACTTG